TGTGAGAGAGCGATCACCGGTTGTATCTGGCACTTGGAAGGGTGTGTTTTATCAAGTATCCAGTTCTAGTTGTCATAAGGTCAAGGTACAACTCCGGGTCGTCCTTTTACCGAGGGACATGACTATTCGAATAGATCAACTTCCCTGCAGGGGTGCACCACATTTCCCAACACGCTCGATCCCCTTTGTCCGGACACACTTTCATGGGTCATGCCCGGCCTCGGAAGATCAACACGTCACAACCCTACCTAGGCACAACAGATAGGTCAGCACGCCGGTCTAAATCCTATGGCGCAGGGGTCTGGGCCCATCGCCCATTGCACACCTGCACGTTGTGTACACTGCCGGCGAGCAGACCTAGCCTACCTTCTACAAGAGCAGGCGTTCCAGTCCAACCCGGTGCACGCCGCTCAGTCGCTGACGTCACGAAGGCTTCAGCTGATACCACGACGTCGAGTGCCCATAACTGTTCCTGCGTAGTTGGTTAGTGCGTATAGGCCAATGGCCAGACTCAGATCAAATATCCAGATCTCATTAAGAGTGTTATTTTGAAATAATCGCGGTCGCCGACCAGGGCCAAGCCCACCTCTCTCCTAGGCGGTCTCAACCTTCCCTGTCGCTCCACCACAAAGATCCACTCAGAGGGCCGTCGGGACAAATGTCCTTTTGGACCCAATCCGTGAATCACTCGCAGGTACTCTATGAGCCGACCGGACTTTGGTCACCACATATATCATGTATTATGTATATAGGTATATACCCGTGATCACCTCCCAAGTGATCATGGCCCGATAGTATAGCATGGCAGACAGACAAGAATGTAGGGCCACTGATGGAATACTAGCATCCTATACTAAGCATTTAGGATTGCAGGTAAAGGTAACAACAGTAGTAGCAAGGACAGGCTATGCATCAGGATAGGATTAACGGAAAGCAGTAACATGCTACACTACTCTAATGCAAGAAGTAGAGAGAAGAGTAGGTGATATCTGGTGATCAAAGGGGGGCTTGCCTGGTTGCTCTCGCAAGAAAGAGGGGTCATCGACACCGTAGTCGAACTAGGGTCGCCGGTAGTCTCGGGGTCTACCGGAAAGGAGTAATGGAGGGGGAACACAATAAATAACAGAGCAATCAAATGTAACACAAAGCAAGACGCGGCAATAAGTTGTGCTAGGGGTGACCTAACGTAGGGACAGGTGATACCGGCAAAGGGGGAAAACATCCGGGAAGGTATCCCCGGCGTTTCGCGTTTTCAGACAAAAGAACCGGAGGGGAAAGTTGCGTGTTCTCTATGCTAGGGATGTGTGGCAGACGAACAGGCTGCGTATCCGGATTCGTCTCGTCGTTCTGAGCAACTTTCATGTACAAAGTTTTTCCATCCGAGCTACGGTTTATTTTATATTAATTTTAAAAGATTTAAATCATTTTTAGGATTTATTTAATTATTTTAAATCAACATTATTCAGAACAGTGCACGCTGACGTCAGTAGTCAACGTTGACCATTGACCTGGTCAACCTGACAGGTGGGTCCCACCTGTCAGCGACACATTTTAATTAACCTAACCAGGATTAATTAGGGGTGGGCCCCACTAGTCAGTGACTACTTAATTAGCTAATTAACTAATTAGGTTAATTAGGAAACTAATGTTTAATTAGTTTTATTAAACATGATTAATTAAGTTGATTAATTCTTTAATTAATTAATTAATTATTTTTATTTTTATTTTTTTAACGTTCTCTGGGCGTGGGGCCCTCGTGTCATTGGCCCATGGCCTTAGCGGGTGTGGGCGAACGGGCACAACCCGAATGGGCGCTGGCCCGCGGGGGTGCACCCGACTGGGCGCCGGCCCTAGCCAGCCGTGGCAGCACGCGCGCGCAGAGGCGCCGGCGACGGGCACGGCCAGCGTGGCCTGCGGGAAAGCAGGGACGGCGGAGGCTGGCAGCGCCGCGTGAGCCGGACGACGAGCGGCAGGGAGAGGTGGCGAGGCGGCGCTGGAGAGGGGCCGCGCGGACGGGCGCAGGCCACGGTGACCTGGGGAGGTAGCGGCGCTGCGGGGAGTGCCGCGGGGCGGAGGAAGTGGCCGCGGGGCAGGGGTGCGGCCAGCGGGGAGCGCGGGACTACGCGGCGGGGCGTGGCTGACGAGCGGG